AAATTAATTGCTATTGCTATTAGCCTATTACAAACTTCTATGTCATTTGGTTGTTAAATAATCATTTTGTAACAACCCGGTTGTTTAATAGCTTGTAGTGGCAATTCATTTCTTAGTTTAATGGGAGTAAATTAAATAGGTAAATTAAGATATTTTTTGTGGGTCCAAAGTGTTTTGTAGAATTTAAAAAATTTATAGTTGATTTGAGTAATTTTTACTTTAATGATGGTTGTCTATAAGAAACTAAAACTTGACCCCACTATTTTCAAATATCATGTCATTACTTTAATGCGGTTGGAATATTTTATTAATTAAATAAATAATATTATAATATATTTCACATAGTTAATATTAACTATATAGATAATGAGAACTAAATTTTAGTTCACTTAGATGTCATGTCAACTCTACTATAATGCAAATTCGTTATTACTCACGTAAATCTATACAAAATTTTGGTTTAACAATCCTGCACTAAAGTTGCTCTAATATAAAATATATACTCCTAAAGGAACGGAAACAAGTCAATCTAAAATCATAAAAGCAAAATAATATTAAAACACACAAAGTGTTTTATATCTAATAAATTCTGATTCTAATTCATATATTTGCATTTTTTGGAACAACTGATTGAGTCTATCTTGAATGTCAAACATTCCATATTTAATGTACTCATAAGCATGGTTACCAAGAATATCCTGAAGCCTCCCAACGAAGATTCCATATGCCGGAAGCAACATATTTTCCACAGATGATATTATTTCATCCCTTAGCTTATTGTCATAAACAAACCAATCGGACTGAACTCTGCATATCTCTTCAAAGTGAGTGTTGAACAAATAGATCTTCTCTTTCAAAAATTCTTCTGTAATGTTGTCATTGTCTTCCAGCTTCAGAAAGTCCAACACCTTATTCCATGAAATTCTTTTATAAAGTTCAATGTGTTGTCGAATCTTTGCTTTGTTATTTTGGAACCAATCATTGCCAAAAATAGTTTCTAATTCTGAGAATTGGTTTATAGCTTCAATGTGGCTCCTATTATTTACCAATAAAATATGACGTAAAGCAGGGTCCTTGCAATTTTTCAACTTTTCTATCAATTTTTTAGGTAACATCTCAATTATCTGCTCCATATGCTTCAAGAAAAAAGAAGATACTTCCACTTCATTATCAACCTTGGGGTATGCTTGTAAAATTTGTTTCAACTTTTTCCGCGACATGCAACCAAGAGACACGTAGCTCATGACCTCAAAAGTAATTCGATGAAGACCATGAGTCAGAACAGTTTCGGTTGCTTCAGGAACTCTGAAAATAACATTATGCATTTCCAAGAAAAGATCCCTGCTAGCTTCTCCTAATCTATTCTTAACTGCAATTGCTTTGTTCAGTAATGTTGAATCCGGAAAAAGAGATTGGAATTTCGGAATATGATTACCCAAATGCCCGAATATTCGAAGCATTTTGAACAAACACCATTTTGTAGGGTTCCCAGAAGCAATCGTATCTGCAAAATACAGCAGCTGAGACGTTGATTCTTTGCAGACCTCAAAGAAGCAACTAGAAGCCGCAGAGGAAAACCCCAAGAAGACACGATTGCAGAGTTTCTGTTCAATGGGAAACAATATTATCATAGCTACATCCAAAGCAGTCATCCATCTTTCAATCATAGTATCTAAATATTTTTCTCTTTCATACTCATGGATGGTATTGATGTTTTCCGTTGGCAACTCAAACATTTCATTTTTGAGACAAACCTGAAAGAATACCCTGCGCCAACTGCTATACGCATCATAGCACTCTTTCTTATAACCTGCTGCTATCATCAACTTCACAATTTCATTAAGATTATGGATCTTTCTTGATGACAGAGTGTCCGTTACATAATCACACTTACCAAGTAAATGTAATTCACTCTTATCTAGATTGTATTCCTTCACGAGCTTCATAAGCCTGTCTATGAGATTCAAATTCTCCTCTTCAATTTCCTTCATACAAGTTTTAAGCTGTTGCAGTAGTAACGAATCCATTTCAAGGACAACGAAATTTTCACCTTGCAGGTCAAAATACTCATTTTCTATTCCATCTTCTATTGAAGAGATCGAAGAACGAAGAATAATAAGGGAGTAGCTGAAACCTACTCCAAGAATAAGTAACTGCATGCTAATCTTCACGAGCTGCACAATTAGACATCCGAGGAAGAAATAGAGAAGATCAATTTCAACTCCGCAATGAGTTTGCCGCGACAAACTGAGTGACATGATAGAAAAGGAAGCACATGAAACGAGACTGTATGCATCTGGTTTCCCATTCACTACTTTATCAAAGAAAAAGGAATAGACAGAAGTGATTGTCAATACGAGGAAAGCTGCATGAGCTTTGAATCGGAGACTTGTAGATGACTTCCATATATTTGCATACAAAATCATGAGGCTGATGATGAAGCTGAAAAGAGTGTAAAGAATTATCTTGAACAAATTCCAATTTCCAAATAGGTGGTTGAAGGAAGAGCTTAGAGCATAGCATAGCAGTCCAACAATGGATGAAGCAAAGCCAACAAATCTCCATACCTTTGGCTGCAACACTAACCTCCAAATTTGGGTTAGAATATGCATCATATGTCAAGGGAGTAAGAATTGATTTCACAGAAAGACTTGTGGAGTGTTTTAACAATTTTACAAATAAAATCACCATGCAGATGATGAAATTGAAAAGGCAGTAAAGAAAAATAAACAGATTCCAATATCGAAAGAAATAGTTGAAAAAGAGCTTTAGAGCATAAGAGATGAGTCTAACAGCAGCTGAGGCAAAGCCTAGAAATCTCCATACTTTTGGCAGCACCATCCATTTCCAATCCGACCCAACCCAATGAAAAACCATATCCAAGTCAACTGCTCCGTCAATGATGCGATTGCTCCCTTCATCCTTTTTTAATAATCATGATTTTTCTTAGTTTTGAAACAATTATCGTTAATTGATAAATAGAGACTAAAAGAGTAGGAGCATCATTGATGGAACTGTTAACCGTATACGAGACTAATCTTGGTTTGGGTTGAAACTTTCCTCGTAACTCATTAGAAAGTCATCAGTCAAAGGGGCAGATATGAGCCATAAAAAGTAATATTAATTGAAAACATATGAAATCAATTCTAAGCATGTGGAGAGAATTGATGGAAAACTTATCTTATAAAAATATCTAAATTATTTGAGCTGTGTATACAAATCATATGATAAGCAGCTTTGGTCCCTTTCTTTGAAATTTAAGCTTTTCACACCCAAAGGCAAATATCTCACTCTCACTCTCACTCTGTCGGCGAAACCAATTTTTGCACAACCGATAAAAAATGACAGATATTCTCTTCCAAATTTGGAGATGGGTGATGCAGCCAAAGGTGCGGAGGTTTGTAGGCTTTGCTTCAGCTGTCGTTGGACTTCTCTGTTATGCTCTCAGCTCTTCCTTCAAGTATCACTTTGGAAATTGGAATTTGTGGAAGATATTTCTTTACACTGTTTTTAGCTTCATCATCTACTTGTGATTTTATTTGCTAAATCATTGAAACATTCTACAAGTCTTTGGTTCAAAGCTCATACAGCAGGAAAATTCAATAATGAAATGAAGTTGTTTCAGCAGGAAAATTTAAATCATGTTGACATGGTTTTGGAGCAGTTGAAAGAAGACTTCGAATCTAATGATTGACGCCCTCTAAAGCATGGGTACTTCACAATACAGCGAAGCTGCTGGTTAGCACCGGTTTTTAGAAGGATTTCTCTGATTTGTATTTAAGTTGCTGGAGGGGATGTTTTTCAGAAAGCCTCTCAAGATTAGGGTTCAAGAAACTCAGCATCCTACGTCGAAGATATTGTTCCCCGTGGAACTACGACTCGATGATCAGGTTTTCTTTGGGTTCTCCTCCTTAGCTTATTTATCATTTATGGATGTTTGCAAGGAATCCACACTTCAGCTGCTGAGTTCTGCTGATGCTATCGCCATAGTAAGCAGATCACCTGAGCGGTTGTTTACAGTCCTCAACATTGTTTGAAACAATGCTGGACCTAATTCCTGAGTTTGAGTTTTTGTTCCGTGGTCAATACAATGGGTCACTTTAAAGAGAAGCAACAACAACTTGGAAGAGATTGGGGAAGCGGTCAAAGGCATTTTCACGCAGTTGGCGAATCTGATATGCCATGATCCAGCAAAGACAGCAGTTCCCGGAGGCGGACTTCACTCAATTATACATTACGTGATGAACTACCTCCATGCCGCTAGCCACTCGCAACAGACCTTGGAGCAAGTGTTTGAAGAGGATTATGGGCATGCATTGGAGAAATATCCCAAAATGGAGGGTAAAGTACATTCATCCTCCTCTCTCTCAGTGCAGATATGTTTGATTATGGATGAGCAATTTGGAAGCCAGATCCAAAATCTACGAGGACCCTGCATTGTACTATGTTTTCTTGACGAATAACAGCAGCTAAATTGTTCTAAAGACTCCAGATAGTGAATTAGGAGCTATTTTAGGAGATGATTGGATCAGAAAACACACAACAAAAGATTGGCAACACCATGAACACTATCAGAGAAGCCTCAGTCCCATCAAGACATCAGAGTTTTGATTCTCTTATGGTAATTAATTGAATACTTATGGGAATACCCCAGTACGTAATCTTCTCTCTTTCATTTATACACCAAAAAATTAATTAATTTCTTAAGTCTGTGAAAGAATCAAATAGATAGACTTTTGTGACTGTGGAAAAGTAATAATAATTATAGCATAAAAAGGGAAATATACTTTTCTTTTTATTTTTCTTAAAGAAAGGCTTGTGTTAGTCAACTCTTATTACCATCAAACATTTCTTATATCTAAAATAGTTTTTGGTCTGTTTCCTCGAAGTTCATTAGAAATAACAGGATAGCTTCCCAAAGAACACAGAAAATTGTTCACATCTCAGTATATATATGTCTGTGAGCGCAGTTTCAGCTTTTAACTCATATAAGAGAGAACATGAAGCATATTATAATCCAAATTCGGAGATGGCTGATGCATACAAAGGTATGGAGAGTCGTGGGCTTCACTTCAGCTGTTGTTGGATTGGTTAGTTATGCTCTCAGTTCTTCCTTCAACCATCTATTCGGAAATTGGAATTTGTGGAAGATATTTCTTTACTGTGTTTTTTGTTTCATCATCTGCTTCCTGATTTTACTAGCAATGATATGGAACCACTTGAGAAGTCTCAGGTTCAAAGTTCAATTTGCATTTTTGGTTTTAACCATCACCTCGGTGTATTCCTTTTTCTCTGATAAAATGATGAATGGGAAACCAGATGCATATAGTCTCATTTCAAGTGCTGCCTTTGCTGTCATGTCACTCAGTTTGTCGAGGCAAACTCAGTGCGGATTCGAAGTGGATCTTCTTTACTTTTTTCTTGGCTGTTTAATTGTGCAACTCATGAAGATTAAATTACAGTTATTCATTGTTGGAGCTGGCTTCAGCTATTCCCTTATTGCTATTCGTTCTTCCTTTCCTTCTGTTTCCATAGATGTAGCACCAGATAATGAGCACCCTGGTCTCCAAGATGATAATTCGGTAGTTGTTGACGTCATTTCACAACAATTGGTATGCACAGATACCGCTAGTAGCATGATGGAACAACTCATGACTTGTGTGAATGCGATTCAACAGGAGAAACTTAATGTCATCAATAGTCTTTTGGATCAAGAAGAGGAATACTTTGAAAATGCATCTGAACTAATGTTGTCTGAACGCAATTCAGAAGGAGTGTTCATGTTGGAGTTTCTCTTGCCGAAAACTGAAACTATCAATAATCTTCAAGAAATTGTAAAGTTGATGGTGAGCGCCGGTTTTGTAAAGGAGTGCGCTGATGTGTATAGTAGTAGCCGGAGGGAATGCTTGAAGGAGTGCCTAATAAAACAATTACTAGGTTTGGAGAATCTTACTATCGAAGATGTTAACATGGTTCCGTGGAAGGATCTCAAAGACCAAATTGGAAGATGGATTAAGACATTTAAGGTTGCTCTCAATATATTGTTCCCCGCCGAGAGGCAACTATGTGATCTTGTTTTCTTCGGATTCTCCACAGTCGCCGATCTCTCATTTACAGATATTTGTAGGGGATACACTAGTCATTTTCTGAAGTTTGGCAATGCTGTAGCAAATGGAAGCTGTTTGCCAGAGCAGTTATTTAAAATCCTCGACATGTTTGAAACATTGCGTGATTTAATTCCCAAGTTTGAGTCTCTATTTTATGACCATTACAGCGTGTCACTAAGGAATGAAGCAAACACAGTTTTAAAGAATTTGGGGGAAGCAATAGTGGGTATTTTCATAGAGTTGGAAAATAAGATTCGCAGTGAGCCTGTGAAAGCGGCAGTTCCTGATGGCAGGCTTCACCCTGTTCTCCGCTACGTAATGAACTACCTCGTCCTCTCTTGTGACTATTGGAACACACTGGAGCAGGTGTTTGAGGACTATGGGCATCCGTTGAAGGAATACCCCAATCTCGACGATAGTGTACCCTCCTCTTCCCTTCTTTCATTGCAGATGGGTCAGATTATGGAGGTACTAGATAGTAATTTAGAAGCCAAGTCCAAAATCTATAACGAACCTGCTTTGTGTTGTGTTTTCTTAATGAATAGCAGCAGGTACATACTTCAAAAGACAAAAGGTAATGAATTAGGGAAACTTTTATCTGATGATGTTATCCAATATCATGAAGCAAAAGTTTTGTACAATCATGAACAATATCAGAAAATCTCATGGAGTAAGGTGCTGGGATTTCTGAAGCTAGACGACAATGGAATAGTGCCTCCTAATATGGCAAAGAAGTCAATGAAGAAGAAGCTCAAATCGTTCAATATACTGTTTGAAGAAATATGCAGGGTTCAGTCTTTGTGGTTTGTCTTGGATGAACAACTTAGGGAAATCATAAGAGTTTCCATTGAGAGAAACTTGCTGCCAGCGTATGGAAACTTCATTGGGAGGTTTATGAGTGTTATGGAACTTGGAAAATATGATGATAATAAATATGTGAAGTATCAAATGGAGGATATTGAAGCAAGACTCAATGATTTGTTTCAAAATTGAGGCTAAGGCTGCATAGTTTTGTGTGTTTGTATTTGTTGGTAATTAAAATTAAGTTATGATTGTCACAAACTATGTTACATTATCCTTTCTCCATAGCTCTTTTAAGATTAGACACATTTTCCAGGACATGCTTAGAAAGACATCAAATTATAAAATTAAGTAATCCACACTCTCTTACTAAGATGAAATTCCTCAACCCTAAAGCCATCCAAGATGTAATTATAAGCCCCCTTTATCTAGTAAACATTTGAGACCCCGGCTAACCACCTCCACTCATTCACATTTACTTCCTCCATTCCATCTAAAAACCAATTTGGCTCATATTCCAAACCTCTCTTTCAACCAAATTAATATCTCTCCACCAAAAAAAATTTTAATTTAAGATTTACAATCCAGTGTTCCAAAAGACTCTCATATTTAAGAGTTAGAATTTTAAATCAAAGAGAATCTTTTTTACTTCTAAGATGTCATAACCATTTTTCCAATAACGTAAAATTAAAATTTTCAAAATTCTTCAAACCTAAACCAACAACATTGAGGCCTCTATAAATCTTATCTCAATTAGTTCAATTAACTTTTTTTTTTATATTCAACGCTCACCCACCCCCCTTTCCTCGGGAAATATTTTTAGCAAAGATTCAAGGCAGAAAATGATACCTGATGGAGCTTTGAAGAAAGAAAAGTAGTAGAAAATTTGGCATTAAAAAAAGATTTTAAGGTGCTGTTTTTGATCCATTAATGTGTGGATGGTGACAACTTAAAAAAATGTAGTGATTGCGAATCATTGAAGCAAACATAAAAAATCTTAGAGAAGACATACCCAAGAGCTGAGAAGGCGTAGGTGGTGAGTTTATACACTAACAAGCATCAACTTGAATTAATTCAATTAGTGAATGAAATTAAGGCATGTGGAGAAATAGTCACAGAGCAGTATGTTGTCAAAAAAATCATGTGTTCTTTAACACCAAGATTTGACAATGTGATTGTAGCGATTGAGAAATCGAAGGATCTTGCAATGAGCAAAGAGGAGTTGCATATCTCTTTTGAGGCTCATGCACAAAGAACGGAGAGGAGAAATAAGGATAAGGCAAAAGCAAAGATCGCTATGCAAGCTCGCTTCAACGGGAAGGATAAGAGATCGAAGGAAAATGACCCATGAAGAGTAAAAAGAATTTTTAGAGTTTTTGTGAAAGAGAGTCCCAAAGTTCTAAGAATTCGACTTGTCAAAGGGGTGAGAGTAGATGTAACAAAAGTGGTGGTCAAGATAACTTTAGAGGTGAAAGCAAGATGTTTGATACAAGCAATGAGCAATGCTTAAGTGTCAAAGGTTCCATCATTTTGCAAGAGACTACAATGCGAATAAGAATGAACCTCAAGGAGATAAAGGCAAGGTTGCAAGACAAGAGTTTAATGAGAAAAATACGCTCTTAGTTATGATCACAGAAGAGGAATGCAGCAGTAACAAGTTTTGGGATAATAACAACATTAGTTTTGAAACGCTGCAGAAGCATGTTATAATTAGTTACGTAAAAGCTCTAACCGGTTACAGGCAGAAGAAAATGTTATGATGAGTATGAAAGGTTCAGTTCAGTGCATCGAGAAATGGTATTTGGACTTAGGGTGTTCTACTCATATGACGAGGGGGAAGGATTGATTTGTTAAAATTAATCTTGCCATGAAGAACAAAGTGAAGTATGCGGATGACACCACTCTAGCGGCCGATGAGATCAATGATGTTTTGATCACGAGAAGGCATGATGGACATTCCTTGATCAAAGATATATTGTACATTCCAAGAATTAAATGAACCTTCTAAGTATTAACCAATTTCTTGAGAAGTGTTACAAGATTCACATGGAAAACAAGAGGTTGCGCGTTATGGATGCAAACAGGGTTTTGGCCCTTAAAGCTCATATGGCTGACAATAGAGCCTTCAAGATTGAACTGAAGGTTATGGAGCATAAATGTCTTACTACAACAGCAATTCGAGAAGAATGGATATGAAATTATTGTCTTGGGCATCTCAATTTTCGAGATTCCAAAGAATTGCAAAAGAACAAAATGGTAGCAGGGTTGCCACCGATCAACATATCGGCTGAAGTTTATGAAAAATGTGTGCAAGCGAAACAATATAAGGGTAAATTTAGCGAGGATGCGGGTTGTAGAACCAAGAATCACCTTGAGGTGGTGTATTCAGACGTGGGTGGACCAATACAAGTATATTTCATTGGTGACAATAGATATTTTGTAACATTCATCGATGATCATAATACAAAACTATGACATACCTAATTAAGAGAAAAGATGAGGCATTTGAAGTGTTTAAGAAGATCAAGTCCATGGTTGAGCAGCAAAGCAGTCACAAGCTCAAAGTGCTCAAAACGGATGGTGGAGACGAATATGTCTCAAAAGACTTTGAGAGGTTTTATGATCAAGAAAGAATTGTATATGAAGTTGTACCACCTTATACACCCCAACAAAATGGTGTTGCTAAAAAGAAGAATCGGTCAATCATGAACATGGTAAGAAACATATTAAAGGAATTTTTTTCCCGAAAGAGTTATGGGGAGAAGTGGTATCCACAATTGCCTATTCGTTGAATAAGTGTCCAACAAAGAAGATTGAGAAGGTAACACTGAAGGAAGCATGGTCGAGATTCAAACCAAATCTGAACCATTTAAAAGTCTTTGGTTTCATAGCGTATCAACATGTTCCGGAGCAACTTAGAAAGAACGTGGATGATAAGGGAGAGTTAATGATATTCGCAGGGTAGCACTTCATTGGTGGTTACAAGTTATTTGATGCAACAAACAGGAGGATTGTGATCAGCCGATGCGTCCTTTTCGACGTGATAAAGCAACTGCAGTAGCCTGTAACTGTAACACCCCATTCTACCTCGTACACATATTATAAAACATATACAGAAATATTACATAAAGGTACATCAGAGTTCTCAAAGCAAGTGGGATGTCACACTAAGTCACTTCATTCTTCATAAATAAACCAATGCTATCTAGCTTTCAATTAAATACCGGAATAAAATCAATGTCTAAACATAATCCCCACAACTGGTGGTTATACATTATTAATCCAAAAGATAAAAGATACGTAACGATTAATCAAGAAAATAAGCAAAATATAACATAATCCTGTCATCCCATGTTACGTATCAGAGCGACTCCTAGAACTCGATCAAATAGTAACACACTCCAAGCACTACTCAAATACCTGGTCATCTACACTCTCCAAGGGGCACAGACGCAACAAATAGAAAAGGAGTGAGAATTACATTCAATAAATAAGCGGTGAAATAAACATGCTAAGGAGTAGTTACACACCACACATACAATCATACACATGCAATGCACATACCCGTGCCATCTCAATCACTCGACATTAATAGCCCACAATCAAATACAAATATGTAATGTGACTCACTGACTCGACACGATGCATGTGGTACCAACACAAATACATACGGTTCACCCTAGAACACGATTCCCATCAGAATCTGGATAAGACGTACACGTTCCTCTGAGCTACAACTTATCTCCACCACGACTTCCACATGAAGTTCGGATGAACTAGGCACCCATCATGGATTCCCACCTAGTCATATCCACAAGACACATGACATGAAATGCATGAAAAACCATTATGCAATAATTCACGATCATCAATGATCCACACGAGCCATCCGCTCACCGTAATCCTCTCGGGGATTACCACAATCGCACAAGATGGTCCACATTCGACAATCATGGCTCACACTCATCAAAACACACCCCTAAGGGCACATCCATTAAATTCCACATTCTTTCTAATTAAATTCATTACAAGTCTTCCCTAGGTTCATTTTAGGCATATTAATCCTACCGATTAAACAGAATTGCATTCCGAGCGAAATCTTGACAGAATTCACAAAAATGGGGAAAAGTCATCTCAGACCTGCCCATACAAGTAACACCCTTCCCCATACGCGTATTTCCCTGCTAGCATACGCGTATGGACACTCCCTTACGCGTAATGGTAGAGGCTCACACCTCTCCAAGTTCCCTATTGCAACCCCTTACGCATATGACTACCCTTCATACGCGTATTGCCCAAGCCCATATGTGTATGTTACGCGTATCACTAGAGGGTCGTGCTGGCCTTGGGGATAGGGCAAGTCTGCTACGCGTACAACCCTTGGGAAGTCCCCCATACGCGTATTGACACCCCTAATATGCGTATGGCCAGCAGATCTGTCAAAAAACTCAGATCTCATCATTCCCACGAGTTCCCTCTCCAGATCCATCATTCTACCTTCTCATTCATTCTAAAACTCAAATTTCGATCGATTCGATTAATCCTATCTTCTATTATTTCAAGATTTCACTTATTAGATCTAATTTCTATTACTGTCAAACCCTTAATTCTCGAATCTAACATTTGCCACAAATTCATCATAGCGCTCATAACTTTTCACAAGAATTTAGATCAGTTCTAGAATTCGTTCATCCAACCTCAAACAAGAATATTCAACAATGGCAGCAATCACAAGGAACATCACAAAGTTACGAAATCAGATCAATGAACAAGAACAAACAAAATTCCCTACGAGAGAAAGGACCTCTCACTACCCTCTCATGTCAAATCACCCTTATTGAAATCCATTCTCCCCCTTACCTTAGATTGAAGCTGTCTCTTGGTAACAATAGAGAAAATTGGTTCTTTTTGCCCTGGCTCTTCTTTCTCTGTCCCTTCCTCTTTCACGAATGTTAACTGTTTAATCCCACTAATACTCTCTAAACCCTCTTAATCATATTTTTAATTTATTTAATTTTATTACTAATAATAATACTAATAATAACAATAATAATAACCATAATCCTATTAATATTATTATTAATAATAATTGAAATAATAATATTAATAATCATAATGCTCCTAATCTTATTATTAAATTATCCTTTATTCTAGGTCCACATTACCCCAACTAAAGTCAGCTCTTACTCTCG